CTACTTTAGTCTGTGTGCATTGAATTTATTTAATACACGAGTTTCACAATTTGAGTTGAATTACTGAAATAAATGAACTTTTCCACGACATTCTAATTTATTGAGATGCACCTGTAGGTAATTCAGACTTTTTTCCTCATAATTCTGAGTTCATATCTCACAATTCTGACTTTATTCTTGACATATATCTCAGAATTTGCATTTTTAGAAAACAAAGTCAGAAATGCAAGATATTAATGCAGAATTGAAATATAAACTCACAATTGCAAGAAAAAAAGTAAGAACTGTGAGAAAAAAAGTTTAAATTACCTTTTTATTTTATGGTGGTAACAAAAAACAAACCTGAATTGCGAGATATAAACTCAGAATTATTAGATATAAACATGGAACTGTGAGATATCAAACAAGAATTGGGAAATATAAACTTGTAATTCTGAGAAAAAATTCTGCAGAATGCAAAAATGCAAAAAAAAAGAGTAAAAAGACTTTTTCTACACCATTTCGAACATTGAAAAATGACTGGAATGTTTGAAAATTATTTCTTTTTTTTTTACAATCCTAAAATATGACACTTCATCAAATTGCACTTTTGCAACCTACGCCGTCTAGACTAAAACACAACTTTCTGCTCCTTGGTAAAAAAGCGAGTGGAAATGCAATATAATAGATTTACAATCCTAAAATATGACACTTCATCAAATTGCACTTTTGCAACCTACGCCGTCTAGACTAAAACACAACTTTCTGCTCCTTGAAGTGGTAAAAAAGCGAGTGGAAATGCAATATAATAGCTAAGCCTCAATTTGTCTGTGCCAAAATACCCACTGCTATTGTTTCCACAAAGGACTGTCAGGAGGACAACGACTAAGTGGATCAATGATGTATTTTAGGGGGTTTGTTTGTGCTAAGCCTCAAGAGGTCCCTCATCTAGTGGTGATTAAATTACATTAAAGAATCAAACCCTCTTAATTACCGCTATTATCATCAACAGTAAATTAGGCAGTCTGAAAATGACTGTGCTAATTAGCCTGTATGTGACTCCATGTTTATTCAGCTTTCAGCAGCTCGTTTGCCTGCAGTGGAATGATAGGGTTTGTGAGCACGCAGACATCTGTAGAGCAATTACGATCTGCCACTCAAACACAAGCAATCCATCTTCTTCTGAACAATTCTCCATCACCACTAACCGAGACACTTGAGTTGAGGTATGATTCACGCCATATGTAATAACATCATCATAACACATGGTAATATTGCGACATCAAATGGCAAAACATTAAGATTACATTCATGTCATGAATTCTGCCACGAATATGTCCAGAATATTTCCAAAACTACAAAAGTAGAAATTATGTTTTGTATAAAGATGAATAAAGACTATTTTAGGACCAATTTAGGAAATGCATTTTTTATTATTTTTTTGCATTGTGACAATTAAGCATCACATTGTCATTATGCAAAAAAACAAACAAACAAAAAAAAACCACTGCATTCTCATTACTGTAATGCAGAAAAATAAAATGATGCAGTACAGTATTATGGAATTGAATATTATTGTATTGCACCGCCTTTAATTTAAAATGATTTTAAAATGTTAAAATTAATTAGATTAAAAATAATAAATAAATAAATAAAAACCTAAAAAGTTAAATAAATAAATAATATATGGTGGCATAACAATATACATTAAAAATTATATTAAAAAAAAATATGTATTTATTTTTCTTTATAAAAATGTGTATAAATATTTATTTTAAATAATACATTTTATATTGCAGAATGAAAATGAAATCTATATATGTATAAAAAGTAATATAGAGTATATATAAATAACGAAAAACTGAAAAATATATTAATATTTATATTACATATGCATACAGACACATTTCAGTAATGGAAATTTATCATGAAAATAATGCCATAATGCAATATATATATATATATATATATATACAGTGCTGCTTGAAAGTTTGTGAACTGCAGCTAAATGTTTCTTGTAACTGCTGATCAGTCCTGCACAATGACTTGTAGGAGTTTTAGCCCATTCTTCAGTACAGAACCACTTCAACTCTGTGTTATTGGTGGGTTTCCTCCAATTTCCTTTAGAATTTGCTGGTATAATTCAGAATTCATTGTTCCATCAACGATGGCAAGCCGTCCTGGTCCAGATGCAGCAAAACGGGCCCAAACCATGATACAACCACCACCACATTTCACAAATTTGATAAGGTTCTTATGCTGGAATGCAGTGTTTTCTTTCTCCAAACATAACGCTGCTCATTTAAACCAAAATATTATATTTTGGTCTCATCCGTCTTCTAACCCTTTCTCCAATAACACTTTGGCTTGTCTGCATGACCTGTAGCAAGCTGCAGACGAGCAGCAATGTTCTTTCTGGAGAGCAGTGGCTTTCTTCTTGAAACTCTGCCATGCACACTATGGTTGTTCAGTGTTCTCCTGAAGGTGGACTCATGAACATTAGCCAATGTGAGAAAGGCCTTTAGTTGCTTAGAACTTACCATGGGGTCTTTAGTAACCTCGTCCAGCTTTGGAGTGATCTTAGTTGGTCGACCACTTCTGGGGAGGGTAAAAGTGGTCTTTAATTTCCTCCATTTGTACACAATCTGTCTGACTGTGGATTCGTGGAATCCAAACTAAAGATGGCTTTGTAACCTTTTCCAGCCTGATGATCAACAGCAACTCTTTTTCTGCGGTCCTCAGAGATCTCCTTAGTTCGTGCCATAATTCACTTCCACAATCCTGATCAAACTATTGAAAGATCCATGCTCGTTGAATAAAACGATAGTCATTGCATTGATTGAAAACACGTCTAAACAGATGGACTCTAATTTCACCTTAAAAAAAATACTAATCCTAGAGATTCACATATTTTTGCCACTCACAGATATGCAATATTGGATCATTTTCTTGAATAAATAAATGACAAAGAAAATATTTTTTGTCTTATTTGTTTGATCGGGCTGTCTCTGTCTACCTTCAGGACATGTGCGAAAATCTGATTATGTTTTGAGTCATATTTATGCAAAAATATAGAAAATACTAAATGGTTCACAAACAGCACTGTAAAAAGCAGCACTGTGTATATATATATATATATATATATATATATATATGTTACTTTTTATATGTAGACTTTATTTTATTTATGTAATATAACATTTTATTTCTTATGTAGTTTTGACAATCTAAAGAAGAAAAAAAAAGATGCTCTGCCATATTAGTGAACTTCTCAACCATGAGCACATCTACATATGACTGCACATGTTTACATATCAGCAGCTGTTCAGAAACTTGGAATGTCAATTAACAACAACTTTGCAAAAAGGAAGTTGTTGAAGGATGGTGCAATGCCAATTATATTGGACCAAACAGCAAATCCATAACCTGTAAGATATTAATTTCACACGCAAAAACGCTGGCCAATCATATACGAGGTCATTTACATACAGAATTCTTCAGAGAAGGGAAAACATTAATTTAATCTTGCAAGTAGACTTACTTTTTGGGCGGTACCTGCCCGACGTTGACTTTTACGCAGATGACCTTGCGCGTTTGCACACCCACGGTGCAGGTGGATTTTTCTGCGCTGGAGGAGGAATTTATGGATGTAGTGGTATCCTCCACACATTGTCCCCACTGGCCCGTCTGCCAGTGATACACGATGCAAGGATGCTCATTACAGTTCCGAACCTCCTGCAGGGTGCTGGTGTTCGGACAGCTGGAACCTCCTGCAAGAGTGTGAAGACATGCATTAGGTCTGACACGTGTCTACACTAGACGCGGCCGGCATCATGTCATGCCACCACAGCTTGAGGTTCTGCACACTGGAAGTGTTAAAGGTGCACGTCAACTCAGGAGACTTCAGCTACAGTAAAATCAAAGTAAAGTCCACAAAAAAAAAAAAATTATAATAACCAGAAATTCACTATGCATCGGTAACATTTTTAATGTTGTGTAAGAAGTCATCAAGGTTGCATTTACTTGATAAAAAAAATAATAATAAACTGTAAAATTGTTAAATATGATTACTATTTAAAATAACTATTTTCTATTTGAATATATTTAAAAATGTAATTTATTTCTGTGGTCCAAAGCTGAATTTTCAGCATCATTACTCCAGTCTTCAGTGTCACATGATCCTTCAGAAATCATTCTAATATGAACAGAAAATTCAAAAGAACTTATATTAGAATGTTTAAAGGCATTTATTTGAAATCTTTTGAAACATAAATAGTGTACTGTCAATTTGATCAATTTAATACATCCTTGTTGAATAAAAGTATTTATTTCTGTACATAGATTGCCGCTAATGTTTTCTAAAGTCTCTTCTGCTGACCAAGGCTGCATTTATTTGATTAAAAATACAGAAAAAAACTGTAATATTATTACAATTCAAAATAACTGTTTTCTAATTTAATATACTTTAAAATCTAATTTATCCCAACGAGGTCAAGACTGAATTTTCAGCATCATTACTCAAGGCCTCAGTGTCACATGATCCTTCAGAAATCATTCTGATATGATGATTTATTATCAACGTTGGAAACTGTTATGCTGCTTAATATTATTTTGGGACCTGCAATATGTTTTTCAGGATTATTTGATGAATAAAATGTTAAAAAGAACAACTGAAAACTTAAAAATGTACTGAAATTAAAAATGATTTTGCATAAGCCTTTAAATGCATACGGAAACGTCTTTTCTTCCTTGTTTTTTTTCTTGCGAGGAAAGGTCAAGTGTTAATTTTCTCAAATCTCAACATAATGCCGTCATCTCCAGTCGCTTAAACTTGTTCTAATATTGATTAAGATGAAACACTTCACATAATTGCCGCCTCCTAATTCCTCACAAGTGGCAGGTAGTCAATGCAGCCGGCGGAGAGTGGCGCGGTGTGTCGAAATAATTGCTGACATTTACAGGTTTGCAGATGACAGAGCAGCCCAGTGGGCCTGTGAATCAAAGCGCTCTCATTCTCAGAGGAAAGCAAGAGCTTTATGAGAAGAAGTGAGCGAATACGTCTGCCTGCTTTAACTTTATAACACGCACAGTATTATAGTTATTGGATCTGACTGTCAGATCCATTAAACAGCTGATTAGTGTGTTTATGTTGGGCATTGAGTTATAATAATAATAGTGGTTTATGTTGGGCATTGAGGGTAATAATAGGGCTTTTCACACTTTGTTTAACTTTAAACCCTAGGTAACCAAGGCTCTTCCTTATAATTTTGTGCCCTGATTTGTGATGTCAAAATGTATAAGGGTGATTCTTCAGTTCAAGGCACTTTTGACACTTTAAAAAAAATCAGACTTCTTCAAACGATGTTTCATCAGTTAAAACATTTATCACATGTCCTGAAAAAAGATTTGATCATGGCTTTGATGAGCCTTCAAGTATAATGTGGTATGCAGGGTTATTATCATCATGAACTAAAACTAAAATGAAAACTAAAACCTTTTTTTTTTTAATTCTGATAAAACTGAAATAAAAATTAATAAGTACTATACAGACATTTTAAAACAAACCTAATAAAAATGACAAAACACTACGAATTGCTAATAAATAAAATGCAAACAGAAAATATAAAAATAAATTCTAAATAGTTACAGAAGATAAAAGAAAAAGCTACAGTAGATAAGCTTTGAACTTTCTAACACATAGCCATCAATAAACCTTGAATTCATAAAAACATGTTTCAGAACTAAAATTCTATAAGCAATTTTGTAATGACATCTAAAAAAGCTGCTGAAAGATTTTGTGATTTTCATGGTACAAAAAAATCTTAAAATTATGTACACTGATGGCAGAGATGAGCTCCACTGTCACTTCTCATTTTCATCATAACCAAACATAATCAACTTTGGGAAAACATGTTTTTTTTTCCTATGACGATAAAGGCAAATTAAAAAAAAAATTAAAAAAAAAAGACAAATTAATTTGAAAGTACATATTTTTTCTTATAAAAGCGTTCAGAAAAAGTATAAAAAATAAAGATGAAGAGATGAAAAAACAGATGATAGAGATTTTCTGATAAATGTAACCTTTCAAAAGCAGGAAAAATTAATTTGAGTCAATAAAACTAAACAACTTTAAAGCTACCATAATAATCTATATTTTGAAAAATACAATGCATGATGTTTATAAAAAGGATTTTTCTGTAAAAGAAGAAAATAATACTTTTAGGGAACGGAGGAATTACATTAAATGAAGAATCATCCATATACAGTATGGAAACAAGGCAGTTTAGCAACAGACAACCAATCATAAACCGCCTCAGAGCTTAGCTCATACAATATTCATGCACTTTGCATAGCTGCAGTAAGTAAAACTGTTCAGCGTCTGAAGTAAACTCCTAAATCAATATTATTAAAGTCATAAATATGCAAATAAGAAAGCAAGTCAGGGTTTACAAATGTACAGTGTGAAACCCCGTCCACTACTATCATTAATTACTAACCCAGGGTAAAGTAAAACACTGAGAAAAAAAAGAATGAACAAACTGGAGTGTGAAAAGCCCAAATGTACGGTGGCCGAGAGTACAAATGAGTATTTGCGGTCTTCCCACAAGAACATGTTTGTGTCTCTATGAAGCTTAACTGTGCAGTGTTACGAATGCCTCCACAGAATCTTCACACTGAGCTTTTCAGATGTTCTGCAATCAAAGAAAGCACATTCACTGCTTCATTTCTGTGAGTGTTTCTAATGAACTGATTTCCTGAAATGACAACTCATGATCAGGCTTTAAGCCAGAAACATACAAAACGCAAAGTATGCAAATGTATATGGGAATGCTGGCACATCATATGCATTATTGTACTACTTTTATGGTAACAGCAAAGAAAATTCAGAACATAAATAAATCACTATTTAGGTTTTGTTGAATAATGGTCTAAAAAAAGTGACAAATAAAATACTCGAAAATTTGATGCCTTAATTTGAGTGTGTATAGGTGTGACATGGTATTAATTAACAGCATATTAATAGTGCTGACTGTCTTTTGACTGTATAATGTATATCTAAAATGTCTTTAACCTGAAACCTGTCTAAAGGTCAAATTAAATGTAAGTTTACGTGCCAAAAAAAAATAAAAATAACAAAACAAAACAAAATAAAATAAAATAAAACAAAACAAAACAAAACAAAATTAAATTAAATTAATTAAATAAACAAATAAAATTAAATAAAATAAAATTAAATAAAATAAACTTAAATAAAATTAAATTTTTGTCCACCTCACAAAATAAAATAAAATAAAACAAAACAAAACAAAACAAAACAAAACAAAACAAAACAAAACAAAACAAAACAAAATTAAATTAATTAAATAAACAAATAAAATTAAATACAATTAAATAAAATAAACTTAAATAAAATTAAATTTTTGTCCACCTCACATCACTGCTTTAAAATTCCTGGGCCATTAAACTGGATATATTATTATTCAAGTAGCTAGATAAAAACATGTCAACTTCAACAAACTTAAGATCAATCTATTGCTCCACCATGACATTTTTTGACCTGAAAGACAAATCTGACCACAGGAGAAAAGAGTTTACACTAATGTGCGCAATAGTGACTCATGCTGCAACACTGAGAAAGCAATGCTATGAACTGCATTCTGAATGCTCTCAACAATATGCTTATACTGTAAGTTTGCATAGCAAGACCTGTTTGCATTAAAGTATGATGAACATAAGTTTCATAAGAGACCCAGAGGACTATAATTTTTCTCTTGTTTACAGTATGAGTTTCAGCATTCTGCTGACTTGTTCACAAATGGACTCTCAAGGACATGCATTATGTATAAAGTCCCGCTGCATGAACGGCTGCATTCGGCATCTTACGTCAGACGTCAAGCAGATGTCTTGCACAGAAAGCATGGTGCATAGACTCATCGTCACATAAATCTATCCGCCTCCCAAAGGGAATCGCTCAACTCATCGCTCAAAAAGCCAGTAACTTTAGTGGAAAATGGTGCTTAAAGCAATTGCATACAAGCGAAATATCTCACTTTCTTCATTTATATTCTTCATGGATGCAACATTAAACTTGTGGAAACAAGACTAAGAATAAAAGACTCCATTTACACTTTCTAACCCTATACATAATCAAACACAAGATATTTATTGCATCTAAATCTACAAACTGCACGCAAGAGATGAAAAGAAAACAACTGTACCATAGAGCTCAGGAAACTTTGGAACCCTCGTAAGACCTTGAGAAAAAGCAAAAGTTATGAGCGTCTTCGCATTTAACTTCAGAGATGCAGTGGTTAGAGAGTGAATATTTCAGGATCTACTCGACTAGTACTAAGTAAATGTTTTAACATTTACACATTTTTGAGTAATGATAAAAGAATCAAGAGTAAGAAAAGACAGGACTTAGCGGCTACTTCAAACCATTCAAACAAATCTAAGAGGACTTCAACAGGAAAACTACTCTACAGGCCATAAATACATGAGATGTTTTGACGTGTCACCCTCCATAACTGTAATCCACGCCACTACCATTGACGTCACTGTGGAGAAAGCAAAGCAACAATTCAATATAGACTTCTCTGAAGAGAATATGATACATAAACGACAAATGAGAGGAAAATTTACTGCCATTATCAATTCATATTTGATCCACAAATTTCTAAGGGCTCAAAATTATCAACATGATCAAAACTTTGCTGAAAAACCTGTTGCATACAATCTACTACATGCCTTCCTTTATTTAATTTATAGA